TTCACTGTCCTGACGCCCAGCAAAGTCTCCTGGCTGCAAGTTTTGCGGAATGAACGTCTGGGATAGACAAGACACTTAAAACGTTGACTTTCGTTGACTCCTCAAGTGGCTGCTGCATCTATGCGCGCCGCCATCTCCATGGCAACCAGAGTGATGCTTTCACCAACTATTTGCATCATTAATCAGTTTGAGTCATATTTTAAGGGGGAAAAAACATGTAAACTCTCTGGCTTCTTAAATGTGAATACTTTTCCTATTTATGCTTCTGTGTCAGTAAACTAATTAGCTTTTGGTTATGGAGTAAACAAGACATTTGTCACCTTGGAATTTGGAAAACTTCATGACATGTTTACCATTTTGTGACATTTCATAGACCAAACAACTAGTCGGTTAATCCAGAAAATAAAAAATAATCATCAAGATGAACGAACAATGACATCTCTACATATTCTGTTTATACTCCGGACTGCACACGATGCACTTCACTGCTTCTTCTGCACTTCCGGTTGGCTGCTGCATTTTGTTTTCACAGTACTTGTGCTCTGTGCAATGGCAAATTAGTGCAATCTCATCTAATTCTTACTGGCAGCCCTACCACGGACAAAAATCAATCCAGATTTTTTTTTAACTGACTTGCTGATAATAATAATAATCAATAGGTGCAATAAAAGTCCTTCTGTGTGTGGAGCTGACAGTGCAAATATTAACATCACACCTTCACAATCAAAACACTGTGTGGATGTTGGCTTACCTTTCCTCCTATCCGCACCTGGGCTTGAAGTTTGGCCAGTTTTTCTTGGTTCATGTTCTCACCTGCAGGAGAAAAATGTAGATAAGCAAGAAAGACAAACACAACTTTGTGTACTTGGCAAATTGACGAGCATGCTGCTGCTGCTGCTGCTGCTAGTGCAACATTAGCAACACAACAAGCTAGTTCCATAAAACGCAGCTTTTTAGCTAAACGGTGCCAGAAAAAAAACAGCTTTTATCCACAATGTGAGCCAATAAAGATGTTAAAAGGAGATGTAGACACAGCTAATGTGACAGGAGCCAGACTGCTGGGCTTCCCTCCGTGTGGTTAGCAGCTGCAGATGAAAACACAACACAGGGCCGGATACGGTGAACACACGCCGGAACGCGGCTCCGCTCGGTGCCGCAGCTCTGCTCCGAACACACGCCGACACCCGCACAGGCCCCGCAAGACACACAAAACGGTCCACGCACACCCACGGGGACCGCAGAGACAAACCTGTTCGGAGGTCCACGGAGTCATGCGGCGCTGAAAGATGGAGTCGATGAGGAAGAGGTTACGTCACACTCCATATGGGATTTTCTTCTTCGTCGCTTTCAAACAGCGGCAGGAATCCGGCGCTCTGCTGCCCCCTGCAGGAGGCGTCAGGAAGCACATCAACAAATGCACCAGCAAATACCTGCTGGAGGAGGAGGAGGAAGAGGAGGAGGAGGAGGCATTTTCAGCACAGCGAGAAAAAAAAAGAAAAGAAAAAAATAGGGGTGGAAAATAACTTTAAAAACACAATTTACTTGCTATTTAAGAAATGTTATCTGGATGGAACAAAAAGTACTTGGACGAAAAATGTTATTTTGGCTTTAAAACCAACATGTTCACTAAAAAGAACAGTTTGGGAGGAATAAACCTTAAAAATTAAAAGTGCTATTGTGGATGGCATGGACTGATAAAACCAAGCTCACTTGCTAGAAAGTGATATTTGGGTGAAATAAACCTTTAAAACTCTATGCACTTGGACAGTATGGACTTATAAAATCATAACTTCTTCATTAAAAGTACAATATGGGAGGAATAAACCTTTAAAATCAAAAGTGCCTGGATACACTGTAGTATTTTGGGTTACACAGATTTGTGAAACCATAACCTGCTGGTTAGAAAGTACTAATTGGGTGAAATAAACCTTTAAAACTGATACTACTTTGTCATAAAGTACTATTTTTGGTAGTATTGACTTGTAAAACCATAACTTAATTGTTAGAAAGTGTTATTTAGGTGGAATCAACCTTTAAAATTGTAAGTACCTATACAAACAGAAGTATTTTGGAAGGCATAAAAATCAAGCTCACTTGTTAGAAAATACTATTTCAGTGAAACAAACCTTTGAAAATTCTTTGCACTTGGGTGGAACACAACTTTACGACTGTATGTACTGGCGCAGATAGTATTTTTGGTGGTACAGACTTTGATAACTATAATTTGCTGGTTAGAAAGTGCTACTGAGTGGAGTAAAGCTTTAAAACCACAACTCATTCTTTAGAAAAGTGCTATTTGGATGGAATTAAACCTTAAATCTACAAGTCCTTGGACAGAAAGAGATATTTTGGGTGGAATTAACTTTTAAAACCATAACTCATGCATTACAAAAGTATTATTTGGGTGGAATAAACCTTTAAAACTCCAAGTACTTGGACAGACAGTAGTACTTTGGGTGGTATAAACTTTTAAAAACCATAAGTCACCAATTAGAAAACTACTATTTGGGTGGAATAAACCTCTCCCTCATTTAACAGTCTGCATGAACACAGCCTTTCCACAACACAATATTTAAATTGATTGTTCTAACAAATACAAAACTTGGCGATCTTTTCTCCCTCAGGTTGCTTCCCCCTTTGTCAGGATTATAACAACACTCCTAAAACTTTCTGAAAAACGTTTAAACTTGCCGATAATTGTTCAAGCATTTGCAAGATGTTTCTGTCTTTAAGCTGTAAAGTAACTCAGTTTTACAATAGCTAGCTTCTTTTATTAATTTTCATGATGCAAAATTTAAATGTGCATTTCATAGTACCCTTCAAAGAGGCATTATGACTGGAGTAATTATAATTATTATCACTGAACACTAAAAAGTCAGCGATGATTCTGGAACCAAAGCCAGGCAGACTTTCTCCTAAAAAAATCTCCCTGAAAATGCACTTTGTCATGATTGCTACCTATTAGAACACAGCTTTTTTTTCCATTTTCACTTTTATTAGACAGGTCAAGGCAACCACAGCGGAAACATTTTGTGGAAAAACAGGCAACACGACACAGAAGCGCTGACGCAAAATGTCACATGTACAAAATAATAATGTGGCTACCAGTAAGATGCGGCACAATACCGGCTACAAAAAGCCCCACAGTGGACTCCAGTCACAACGTTAATGTCTTTTTTAAATAGTATGTGCCATTTACAGGTAAATATTTCTGTAGATTGAGTTATTTTACATAACTCTTTGCTCAGCTCACATAAACTGCATTAACCACCTAAAAAGTATTCATATTATAATCCAGAGAAATGAATCATCACAATAGATTTCACATCACATAAGCATGTGAGGTGGAAATGCAGTACAACACTTCCATTAAATATCAGTACAAAATGATGCCGGAGCTGCCATGTGGAAATCTAAGCACTATTCAAAACAAAGACGGCAACTTTTCCAAGTCTGAAACTGATTTGTGGCTGTTTTTTTTTTTCTCTGAGCTTTGAGACAATGTCAAGAAGTTAACCCCACATTACACAATGCACCACAAAACTGGTGATTTTTTTGCAAAGGTGACATGAAAACAGACTCTGCATCATGTGCAATGTTCGCCTCCTTCACAGCCTCCTCCTGTTTGTCAGATTCAAGTCTTCACACGGGGGGTTCAGGCGATGGATTTGACGGCAGTGCCTGGCAGAGGCAGCCTGCCGAGGCAGCGGCAGTGGGACGAGTTGCTTTTCTCCACCGAGCTGCAGAGCACACTGTGCTGCCAGCGGTGCAGGTTATGAGGCTTTGAACCCCAGCAGCTGTGAAACAACATGAAGATTTTTCTGAGAACGGCCTTCCTCAGCAGGATGTAGACCCACGGGTCCAGGATCTGGTTCCACGTGGCCATACGAACCACCGTCAGCAGGCTAAAGGACGTGGACTCATCTCTGGCTCTGGTGCTCAGGACGATGACGAGGATCTGCATGGTGGAGAGCGTTCACAGAATAATAACTAGATCACACATTCAGTCAAAATGTGAGTTTAAGTTGCACAATGCTGACAGAACAGAACAAATGCTGGAGAAGTGGAGCTCGAACTGTTTGCAAACACTGGGATGCACTGAAGAGAAAGTAACGCTGAATTCTAACTCTGTATAAATCACGCCGGTCTCTGCTCGTTTAGAGAACATTAAACTTTGAGTGAAAACACTTTCACGCAGTGTTCTTACAAAATATGCAAATGTTTAATTTGAATAATAATTCATTGTCATAGTCACACAGAAGAGGCTTTAAAGCTGCAATTAGGTTTCCAGCTCTTCTACAGGAAATGGGTTCATCTATCACGAAGCTTCACGCCTCTCTTCAGCTGCATATTCATTAGTTACACAAATGTACAACGATTCTTTTACACGATAATCACACGCCTGAAATAACAAAGTTATTGACTAAAGTGAAAGAAAGTTCTGTTCAGATAAGAAATAATATTATTGTTGTTTAAAATGGTGAAAATCAGTAGACTGTTTTCTTGTTTTAAAGAACAAACACAACATTCCAGTACACTTTAAACCCTCCAACACCCTGAGACAGAAGCTGGTTCACCCTAAGAACAAGACACCGAGACACAAACAAAGCAACGTGGTGTACCCAGTCGCTCCACAAGTGCATGGCTCAGCACAGAAGAGCCACCTCCTCAGGACAGGACTCAGCAGTCCACTTGTATCTTAAGGACAAAGGACACTCATTCGAAGACGACAACGTACGGATTTTGGCCAGAGAGGACAGATGGTTTGAGAGAGGGGTGAAAGAAGCCATCAATGTCAAACTGGAAAGACCATCCCTCAACAGAGGTGGAGGTCTGAGGCATCACCTCTCACCTGTTTACATTTCAGTCCTTAGATCTCTCCCCAGGAAGATGAAACTGCATCCACAGCCACAAAAGACCCTAACGAACCCCTTTGTGGCAGGGGGAGCACTAACGAGGGGGAGGAGAAACAAACCCCCGACTGCAACCGAAACTCAGGTGTTAATGGCTCCTTTAGGATACAAGTATCTGGAACTCCCAACTAGTCAGTCAGAGCTGATGAAGCCTCTTGGATGAGAGGTGAAACGTCTTCAAGGAACTCCAGCAAGTCCAGTTGCTACGATTAATCTACCAGAACAGCCATGACCTGGATGACTGAGAATCTTCACAGACTTGTTTTAAAGAGCCCGTCTTATGAAAATCTAACTTTTTAACCTTTGTCATGTTTCCATTCTGGTGCTTTTACATGCTAGAATGCACATCATGAGTAAAATAATGAGTTTCGGCTGAACATTTCCACCTTGGCGCTGCAGATAAATTCTAAAGGAGTCAACAGTTTGAAGTTACAGCTGAGCCCTTTTTTAAGCAGAAATGGATTAATCCAATGGAACAAATGTCTAAGTATATGATTTTGATACACAGAGACAAGTTTGTTGGGGGTTAAGTCAATGACAGGAGATTCAAACGCCAAAGTCCAGCACCCTGATTTGGTTTCATTGTTGTTTTAAGTACGTTAGTTACATTAGTTCTTTTAGTAGCTGCATTTTTGGGGGAAAAACAAACAAACTGTGATGTGTTTCTCAGGCTCCTCGTGGTGCAAATATATACCGCTTTTCAAAAATCTTAAAAACAACCTTTTGTTCAGTCATTTTTCTTCACACTTCACACATAATGGAGCCTGCCAGATCTTATTTCAAATCCTATTCTTTTGTTCCCGTCAGTCACTTTGCACTCACTGATGCTGAAAATCCATCATAGACAAACTGGCAAATAGTAGACACGGTTTAAAGAATAGAAAAGTATGTGGGAATGTAAAAGACTGATTATTATATGAGCCGTGATTGCTAAAACTATAAACTCACCTTCCCCACACTGTAAATTATGATGAAAGAATTTAGTAGAATCAACTCATCTTTTCTAGTTTACTGAATGTAAATATAAGAGTTTTTTTTGTGTGAATTTCTAGTTAATTGAACATAAAATGTTTAATGTATATTTTTAGACCACTTTAGCACCTAAAAGCATGAGATCAATAACTTGAGAAATTTTGACTTGAGTTGAATGATTCACACAACTCAATAAATGAAGTTTATATAAAACTAAATTGGCATATAAACACAATTCCCAGGATGCACTGTAAGATAATTAAAACTCCTCAGAAACTTGCTTTTTGTAGTTTGAGAAAACAAACCCAGTAGAAACTTGTTGTTTATCTTTGTTAGATCAAGTTATGTTTGCCATCCATCCATTATCTATACACTACTTAATCCTCACCAGGGTCACGGGGGGCTGGAGTCTATCCCAGCTGACTCAGGGTGAAGGACAGGTCACCAGTCTATCACAGGGCTACACTTAGAGACAGACAACCAAGCACACTCACATTCACACCTACGGACAATTTAGAATCACCAATTAACCTCAGCATGTTTTTGGACCTTGTGGGAGGAAGCTGGAGAACCCGGAGAGAACCCACGCTGCACGGGGAGAACATGGAGACTCCACGCAGAAAGAACTACGCGAACCGGCGTCCTTCTTGCTGCGAGGCAACAGTGCTAACCTCGGCTCCACCTTGCAGCCCAGGTTATGGCAGCGTCTTTTCAAAATAAAGGTTAATCCTCTATTATCCTGTTGAAGTAAAATGGCTTCAACAGCTGAGCCTGTCAGTTCTCAATTTTAAACAGCACAGAAATGCTTTAAACTTAGATGGAATTTAAAGTGAAAAAGGAAATCTGTCTCCAGCTACTAGTATTTGTTTATGAAACTAGTTGGTTCAACTTAATATCTTCAGCTTATTAAACTTGTTTTCTCAACTTCAGCTATTCTAACTAAGCTGGTTTTACACTTTCACCACTGATAAGACAACTTTGACCACATTAATCAACTTGAATGTGGTGGACTCACACTTTTAAGGTCAGAGACATGTTTCTAGTCAGAATGAAGTTAGAATGACTTACAGTGAAATCTTGAGTTGACTCAGGTCTTTAACAGAGCTCCTACATGGTCATTCTGAGCTCTGTATTTCTTGTACGTTACACTTAAAGACGCACTAAGGAGAAGTTCTTACCAGTAATGGGCCCCAGCAAATGCAGGACACCAGCATGATCCCCAGGAGCTGCCAGATCATCTCAATGTGGTACGACGTTCGTCTGCAGTGATGTTTGCAGCGCAGTCTGGCCTGCAGCAGCGCACAACTCGTGAGTGTATTGCACACGATGGAGAGCAGCAGCGCCAGAAGCCCCAGCATAGAGAACAGCAGGGGCAGGAGCACATCCAGCCAGTCTTTGGGCTGCTCCATGTGGAAGAAGCACCAGCTCCTGGAGCTCTGAACCTTGTAGGGCCTCCACAGCAGCACCGGCAGCACAGCCACCAGAGCAGCCAGCAGCCAGGTGAGCCCCAGCAGCCGCTTCATGTGGTGGGACACCAGCGTGGTGGAGTGGAAAATGGGCCTGGTGACTCCGATGCAGCGCTCCACGGCCATGACGCTGCCCAGGAACAAGGGGCTCAAGCCGAAGAACACCATGCACATCCCAAAGACGCTGCACACGATGCGATGAGGATCAAAAGTCTCCCATTTCTTCTGGTAGCTGTAGACGAAGAGCACCAGGGAGCCGTTGATGAGGTGACCCAGCAGGTCTGTGATCACCAGGCTGCTGGCAAACAGCAGGAAGGACGCCTTGGACTTGAGCCGGACACGGTTGTAGGATTTGACCAGGATGAAGAGAGCCAGGCTGTTGGAGAAGATGCCCACAGTCATGGAGATGATGGAGGCGGTGACGGACAGCTCCTTCTGGCTGCAGGTGTTGTTGGTGGCTCTGACCTCTGACCTGCAGCCTGTTTCTGAGCTCCCATTGGCTGACATGGCCGGAAATAAACCTGAAGGAGAAGATAAAAGGAAGACAGGTGGTTTATTTAAACCAAAATGCTGATGTGGAATAAAACTTTGGAGGTTAAGTATGTTTTTAAGACTTACTTGAACATATAATTTTACTGATTTAAAACAGAATTAGATTTTGGCTGATCATTTTAAAACTAAACCCACGTTCAGTTTTAAGTATAACTCTAAATAAACTTCTTTTATGATGGTAAATACTGTTAATAAAGAGGAATCTATCACACATTGCCAATAGTTATCAGTGAAGGCTGCTGCTTCATGCCTCCGAACGTCGCTTTGCTTGATTCCAGCAGCTGCTCAAAATAAGAAATGATTCCTTACCTCAAGTTTGGTCTCTTCTCGGAACAATCGCCATAAGTCAGCAGCCTCCTCACTCTTTTGTGAAGGTCAATTAAAGAAAGTGACGTCTTGTCAGCCCGCCAGTAAATGCCAACTGAAGCTCAGTATTCCGGTCCCCGTTCCGTGCGCGTCGAGCAGGTGCCAAGTCTTGGCGAGAGCGCACAGAGGAGCTGCGAGGAATCAGCTCCAAACTCTAACGCACCTTAGATGCTGCCCACATTTGTCGCATTCTGTGAGAAAAAAAAAAATCGGCATGTGTCCTCACTCTGGCTGGAAATTACAGGAAAAAAAATACCCAGATAAAGCGCTGCCAACATACTCATGCTGTCAAATACTGTAATTTACGCGCGTAATTTAAGGCAACTATGTGTCTCCATGTTTGGGAACATTTTGAAAAGCTTTCTTTCTCCCTTCAGCTCTGTGTCACTGCTGTTTTGAGCCTCCTCACAATGTGTAAAAAAACAAAATGTCACTGCCTGTTTTTGGAGCATCCTGTTGCTTGGTCATCAGCTGCATCCACTGACATTTTATTTTCCCAAAAAGACACCAAATCATCTTTTACAAGAAAAATGCTCTTACTCCGCTAAAATATCTTTTGCATTACTCTCTGTTCACAGAATATTTCAGTTCTGAACTTGGAATAATTACCTTTCATTTTCATTATCAACTCCAAACATCTCCACTAACCTGATTTTTCATGTCAAACTATCACCAGTCTGACAGAGTCTTGGTTCTCTGTTGGACTCACGCAGCATTCTGATGGCTCAGACTGAACCAGGTGATATGATGTTGGAAGATGTATCCTTTTATTTCAGGTAGTGAGACTTTTTCACCTTTTTTTTTCCCCCAGTGAAAGCTATACTGCCGCCAGACATCAAATCCACCCACTGTGCTACAAAGAGAGGCACACTTGCGATGGTGTTGATTTCCAAAATTGAAGCTGTCTAGTCCATCAATGTGGTCTCTTGCCCATGGCTGAGTCTATTTTTCTTGTCTTTGGTTTATGCTAGAACTTTTCTTTTAATGTCTAAAATAGCAAAAAGCTTTAGATTTTTTTATTTTTTTATTTTCAGGCATCAGTATTTTGATATCATCTGGGTTTTTGTCTCTGTCTTGACGGACAAGAGATGTTCATAAAGTCATTTTTTGTCGATCTGCCATCAAGAAATCTCATTTTTCAGGCAGCTCTGGGCAAGAGAGAAATCCTGACCCTAAGAAAAACCACATAAATGGAACAGAAAAAGTCAGAGGGACTAAAGTCTTCTTGGACTTAATAAAACACAGAGCTGCACACTGAGCCTGATCTAGCAGATGGTACAATATGGATTTGTGTGGCACATATTAAAGAGGCTCATGTGTAAGTTTGCTGCAGATGTAAAATAGAATTATAAATCAAATTTACCCTTTATAAAGCTATGAGTGACGACGAAATGTCCGTCAATAGTTCTTCAGTCTCGACCAAACAGAAGAAACTCGATGTCAACTTTGTTCTCAAACAAGCAGAAAACTTCTGAGGAAAGACATTGTTGAGTCCAGTCAGCCAGAAGAAGTGATTTTTTAAATGATTTTTCTGTTCTTGTTAACTTAGATGTTCCAATTTGGGGAGCTTTGGTCCATCCCAGCATGTTTTCTTGCTGCAAAAAGAACATTTTATTGCTTTGAAGTTTACACATAAATTACAGGGTTAGTTTTCCATTCTTAAAAGTATTAAACCAAATCAAAGATGCGCTCCGAAACATTGCTGGGATCAGTGGAGAAAATTGAATCGGCAGAGCTGAAGCAAAAATGTCATTTTTTTTTTAGTCCTGCAGGCATTTTTCTTACTTGAAACCTGCTGTCTGCATCCTTGACAGTGAAATTTGTGTCACAAAATGGTTCAGAGACAGTGAGAAGCAGAGAGTCCAGGCAAAGGACCGACTTAAATCAAAAGAACTTTATTGAAACCGCTTAAATACAATACAGTGAGGAAATCAGCAATATCAGCAATGTAAAATTGAATGGGTTTGAAGCTGCTAAAGGTGCGAACACAACAAAACAAAGAGACAAAGTGAAGACATAGAGTGCCCATAAAACTTCAGGCCATTTACAAAAAAACTCTTTCACATCAAAATGAAAATAGATTTATTAGATAGACCAAAACTTTGCTGTTTGGTCATCAGACTAGATGCTATGTTTGGCACAAAACACTGCACATTATCACAAACACACCACGCCCTCTGTGAAGCATGGTGGTGCAGCATCATGATGTGAAGATGCTTCTCAGCAGGAGGCCCTGGAAGGCTTTAAAAGGTAGCAGGTTAAATGAATGCAGCAAAAAATAGAGAAATCCTGGAGGACAACCCTGATGCAGTTGCAAGTGAACTGGGAGAGGTTTTGTTTTCCAGTAAGACAATGACCCAAAACATAGAGCCAAAGTTACACAGAAATGGTTGAAAGACAACAAAGCCCACACCTCAGTGCAGTTGAAAATGTGTAAATGGTCATATAACAACTTTCTACCTTAGTGGGACTCAAAGCACTTTACAGTGTTTCCCATTCATTCTTGCCCAAGGACATTTCAGCATGTGGAGGGGCTGAAGATCGAACTACCAACCTTGTGATCAGTGAACCTACTCTGACCTTTTGATGCAGGACCGGCCCAAAATTTGTGGACTTCCAACTAAATACTGATCAACAAGGAGTGAATACTTATACAAGTACTGCTTTTACATTTTATATTTTAGCTAACTGACATCAATTTCTAGAAATCTGTTTTCAATTTCACATGAAAGAGGTTTTTTTTTTGTGTTGTAAATTCTTGCCAAAAAAACCCCAAATTAGACTGACCAGGATTCAGTGTTATAAAGCAATAAAAGTAGAGAACTTCCAAGGGCAGTAACTATTTTTATAGGTGTTGTATGCAGCCTTTTTACAGCTTGGAGGACCAAGGTGAGCTTCATTAGCTGACAACCAATGGCCCTCCAAGGTAAGTTAAAATCGTTTCCAAGAGAGTAGGAGGACTGTAACACTCCAGCAGTGACAGCTGGATGAGTCATGTGGAAGTTTTATATTTACTCTGGTGTTATTCTTATTTTACTTTCATGCAGCTTATTGTTACCACCATCACATATTGTATAGCAGTACCAGACAACTGTACTAGAGGCAAAGTTTTGTATGACTCACCTGTTTGAATTGAATTGTATGAAGGCTTAAAGTCATGTATAAATGACAGCACGGCCATAAAGGACAGTAGGTTTTCAAGAGATGTTTGCATGGAGCATCTCAGATCCACTCATGTTCCGCTGAGCTTCAAACACCTTTACAAGGATCTTATTGGTGATGTTTACACGCAATCAATGGGGGAGATCCATATGCTAGTACAATCCAATATCACCAGAGCATGTAATAGACCATCCAGTTCACTAGAAGAGTCAATATGTGAATATGTACAGAAAAAAGAAGATTTAATAACTTACAGGGAACATAATTCAACACCATAACCCGCGTTGCACAAAATTACCAAAAATATAACCAAAAGAAATTTACTCAACTTAATAAATCAAAAGATTAAGAAAGTTACAGCCAACCAAGAAAGACAAACATGAAGCTAAACAGAGGCACCAAAGGTAGTCCAGACATTCAGAACAAAAAAAGTGACTTCCTCTGGAATACGTGCATTTTGTGGGTTACATGAAAACAGACATTTCAACCATAACTGAAATGGCCAGAGTTAGTGCCTAAAATTCACCAGAACTTTAAATGTCTGAGGCTCCAAAGTTCCTTGTGGATGATGCCCAGACTCCAGCTTTCCAATTTCCAATCAAAATCTACACCCATGATGGTTTCAATTAAAGTTATGTTGACCAGTAGTTTAAATAGTTTTAGTTTATAAAGCAGGGAATCAGTTTCCTGCAACCTGTTGCCTGTTCCCCACATTATCCACAGTCACTGCCATCAGGAAGTTGTCTCAGAGGCGATGCTAAACATGGCACTGATGTGGTATAATCTAGTCGACCTGCAGGTTTATTACCTGCTTTGATGGTGACACATGCTAATACTGCAATAAATACACTTGTTTTTTGAGAATTCACCTTGAGAGCAGAATTTCTGCAACAGTCTAATTGCTGAAAACATAGCCTTTAGTCTCAGTCAGGGGTAGGAGGAGGGTTACAGGTGTGGTGTGCTCACTTCTTTCTAACTACACACCTTCTTCATGCTCACCTGAAGTGAGATTTTTTGCAGTTTTCTCTAAAACGACAAAAAGGATTTATACAACTTTTCGCAGCAGTGCCAGTCTAAGTCCTGGAAACAAACTTAGATATGTAAAAATTGGTGGTGTTACCCTTTAATCTCAAGAAACCATTTAGAATGCAGTGGAGTAACTACTAAATCACTGTCACAAAGACAAAAACAGAGCTGTTTTCATAGCTCATGAAAAGTTAAGCTGACAAAGGCAGCAGCAATTTGTTTTCTGCCATCTTCCTTCTTAGATGCAGCATCTTCTCCTGGCTCTGAGTGGAGCAGATCATCTTCAATCCCACTCTGTTTATTTCTTTCTTTTTCCTTCCCAATCCACATCTCTCCTTAAATTGTAGTTTGGTTAGTTTTTAACTTGTCTGCAAAGTCATTTTTAATTCTGGGGATCCTTT